CGAAAGTTGCCTGACTTACCGTGGAGTAGGTATCCTGAGTTTACTTCACATTGTTCAAGAGGTATAAACTTATTCTGTTAGCATTGCAAAGTGAATTATATACAAATTTCTAATTTCTGATCGAGAAATAATGTTGGAAGACTAAATATTTTTATTAATCTTTTAATTACCTGCTTGTACTAAGGGAGTAAGTAGAATGATATTTAAATACAGAGAAAAAAATCTGTATGATTACAATCAGTCCTAACTGACTGAAATACGTTAATCTTGGAGCCATTGATACTTCAGTCATTTACCTAAATCTATCAATCCCATATTACAAAATTTTTGAATGTATTCTGACAAGTAATGAATATTTGTAGTGTTCAAATTCTGTAATAATCATTGTAAAGACTGCTTTTCTATTCTGTGAATGAGGGAGCTGCAGGGGATGGAAGACCAGGAGAGCAAAGCCATCTGAAATAAATGAACAAAAATCAAATACCTCACAGAAACTGAAGCAGGGATCGCAAGGCCTGCAGAAGTCTACAAGGATCCTCAGTATATACACTAGGAAAGTGTAAACGAGTGAGCCTCTGATTCTTTTGCCTTGTGTTGGGGTCTTTACTTTCTGTTGGCTTAGCTTGTCCAACTTTAATATAATGGGTGTTGTTTTTTCTTACTGTCTTTTATTTTGATATATCATATTGTTATCTCTAAGAAGCCTGTTCTTTTCTAATGAGAGGAAAAATGGACTGAACCCAGATATGAGAGGAGGAATGTGTGTGTGTGTGTGTGTGTGTGTGTGTGTATGATAGAGGGAGGGAAAACTATCAGAATGTGTTGTATGAAAAAATAATCTATATTTAATAAAAGTAAGGTAGAGGAAAATATGATTCATCTGAAAAAAGGAAGAAGAAGACCTAATTTTTAAACTTCAGACTTCAAATAATAGCAAGAAAATAAAATAGAATTGAATTTGATATTTATTTTAATGGTTTTTACAGTGAAGTTGTGGATGATAGAATGAATTCATTTAAAGAGTGTATTTTATACTTAACTATGATTCTGAAATAAGCATCATTGTGGTGGGAAAAATAATATGCAAATCTTCAATTCTGTCTGACCTCTCTATGGATGAAGCTTTCTGAATCTATTCAGTAAAGCACACTCATTTTTAAAGTCTCCTATGATATTTGGATGTTGGTCTTTCAGGTTCATAGTGTTAATGATGTTGCCTTTTATGTATACCTTTGATATATAAAAAAGAATTATGTACTGAGAATAATTGGAAATGAATATGCATTTCACAATGTTTCTCCTTTTCATGAACATATTATATATTTACTTATGAGTGTCTATCTATCTATCTATCTATCTATCTATCTATCTATCTATCTATCATCTATCTATCATATCATACATATTTTTATGAAAATCTATTATTTAATAAAAATACCTATGGTTCAACAATTGTTAAAAGAATATGGTTTTAAAACCAAAAGATTGAAGGACATGCAATGCACTTGTCACTTTGTCAGTTATAGAATGTGCCTTTGAATTGTGACATCACAGTGGCCTCCCACCTTGACTCCCAAAGAATCCTCAGACGTCAGTCGTTGGTTTACCAACTGCTGTGTTCAGTTTGGTACTTAGTGTCTAGAAGGAAAGTGATAATTTCAAGTACATTGATTGGTTCTTGATTGTAGGCTCCACTGTAAAGGTATATATATAATAACTAACTTGATTCTTATGAGAGTCTAATGGAATTAGGAAATGTTCTATCTTGATTCCTTCAGATCATGTGAACTAACTTTTAACTCAGCAGTGCCTTCATAACAAGTTACTCATTAGAAATATTCAGTATCAATACTCTAAAGAAACAAAGTTGTCAGGTAAGGGCAGGTATGCTTTGAGCTCTCAGGAGAAAGTTTTCTATAAGTCTTCAAACAATACCTATCTTGGACATGAAATAGGATTGTTTTCTAGACTAATTGTCTACAAACACAAACTTTGGTTGTAAACTCGTCAGACTTCAACCTAAAGTCTATGAACTCTCTAGTTTTCAAGAAATTGTTATTTTTTCCCTAGCTAGGTTGTGGGGTTTTTTTTTTAAGTTTTCTTTTTTTGTTGTTTTCTTTTTGTTGTTGTTGTTTTGTTTTTTCGAGACAGGGTTTCTCTGTGCTGTCCTGGAACTCACTCTGTAGACCAGGCTGGCCTCAAACTCAGAAATCCACCTGCCTCTGCCTCCCAAGTGCTGGGTTTAAAGGCGTGTGCCATCACCGCCTGGCTAAGTTTTCAGTATTTTAATGTTCATTCAGATAGAAAGGAATCACTTTTGAAAGATGTTCATTTACTTTTAATTTTGAATACCATGAAACTGAGTTGGTGTTATTTTTGTAAAATATCTTTACATTATTGTGGGATGTGTGTGACGATAACCATTGGCTGCTGTTCCTCCTGATTCCTTGAATCTCCTGGGTCTTAAATACTTTCTAGATAATAGCTGGTGTCTCTCTACATAGTCATTGAAAGATATGTTTTGGGCAGCATGATATTCACTTAGTATATGTTTTAATATTTTAATTATATGAGCAGGGTACAGTAAAGAAACCACCCAAAGAGTACCTATCAATCTATTTGTCTATTGATCTCTCATCCATCTGTCTCTATATTCTGTCGCCTACATAACTTTCATACAGATATACATGGTTATGAAAATATGTTATTCCTTACAGAAACTTACAACAATTGCTAGAAAGAATTTTTAAAGCTACTAAGTATAAGGAAAGGAAATGCATGTGTCACTTTGTCAGATGGCATGAGCCTTAGACTATTGACATCACAGTGGTCCTACAGCCTTCCTACTCCTGAACACCAAACTGGTGACTGCCTTTGGTAGACAAACCACTGAAGTCTGAGGGCTCTGTAGTAGTTAGGCTGTAGGACCACTGTGATGTCAATAGTCTAAGGCTCATGCCATCTGACAAAGTGGTTTGTCTACCAAAGGCAGTCACCAGTTTGGTGTTCAGGAGTAGGAAGGCAAAATAAAATTTCAAGTCCGTCTGTTTAGTATCCTGCTTGTTCTTTGACTATCTGTGTTTATTGTCTTGCCTGTTCCTTGACTATTTGCATCTATTGTATAGCTAGTTCCTCAACCTAAAAATGACCTTAAGATTTGCATGTATAATGATATAAAAGCAAAAAGATGAGGCGGAGGGATAGGATAGGGGGCTAAGGGGGAAGGGGGAATGGGGAAAGGGGATAACATTTGAAATGTAAATAAATAAAATATCAAATAAAAACCTTTTTCAGTGAAAGAGGAAGAAAGACTAAAAAATTCAAGTCTATTAAAAGGTTCTCCCAGGCTGCCCAGAAAAGGTATTTTTAAAACTAATTAGATTCTCATGATAGACTAATCATATCAGGTAATGTTCTGTCTTCATTCCTACAGATCATATGAGCTAACTCTCAAGTCAGCAATAGTTTCTTGAAAAGGTAGTTGTTGTAGGAATATTCACTACCAGTTTATACAGGCAAAATCTAATAATTTGCTGGTTTTCTTCAGATTGTTATAATTTCTAACACATATTGTGTTCTTTGGAATCTTTCTAAGGATTTGATGATTAATTCAGACAGAGAGGAACTACTTTCCAGATATGTTCATTTGCTTTCAATTTTTCTTATCATGAGATGAGTTGGTATTTTTTTCATATCTTTACATTATTGTTTGAAGTGTGTAACAGTAACGGTTGGTGAGTGTATCTCTGACATTTTGATCCACTGGAATCCTAAATGCTTGCTTTTTTTGTTTTTTTGTTTTTCGAGACAGGATTTCTCTGTGTAGCCCTGGCTGTCCTGGAACTCACTCTGTAGACCAGGCTGTTCTCGAACTCAGAAATCTGCCTTCCTCTGCCTCCCAAGTGCTGGGATTAAAGGCGTGCGCCACCACTGCCCGGCACCTAAATGCTTTCTGATTAGAAGATATGATGCCTCTGTACATATTTTTTGAAAGATGTAACATGTTTCTGCCAGAATTATATTCCCTTAAAGAAAATATATATCATAAATATACCATTTGTTTGAGCAGGTCACAGTAAAGAAACCAGCAGAAGATTTGCCAATACAGTATTACAGGGAAGAATTTTATTAGAGAAAACAGAGGAAACATGTTCAGAGGCAGGTGGAAGAGTTCTGAGTAGAGAGAAAAAAGAAACAGATTTGCCATGGCCAAGGAAGGGTAATAGAGAAGGAAGAATGTCAGGAGAGAAAACTGGGGATAACTTGAATAGGAGAAACTTTGCATTCATAAAGATGGAGAAGGGGACTCTGTAGTTAGCATAGCACAGGAAATGGAGAGGTTTGGAGAGGTACAGAAATCTAGGCGGGGACTTTAAAATGTACAAGTATTTTTACTTCCCAGAATCCATGTTGATATCCTTACAGGAGCCACAGGCAAGAAGCAATGGAAATGACCCCTTATTCTGGACAAGACCAACTTTACAAACATTTTTTGAAAGCTGGAGGGTTTGTTTGATTGTTTGTTTAGCTAATTTGACAGAGATCTAGTTTATTATAACAGTTTAGACAGCTCAACTGAACATCAGGATCACGAACGCAGAAGTCTTTGGCCTGAGTTGTTTAGATTAATAAAATTACACCTTCAGAAGACAATATACACCAGCTGTTCATTTCTAAGTTTTTACCATTCAAAACAGTTTGGAGAAGGGACAATCACTTTAAAACGAAATTTCTGAAGGAAACAGACATACAGGCCAATATAAGAAAGGACACATGTATAAAAAGCCATCTAAAATTTTTAACTATGGTTAGTTTTTAAATTTCTTACTATCCTTTCATTAGCATTTCATTTATGTTACAAGTTACAATTATTATATTTTTATTCATTTTTGAATCTCATACATGTGTACTCTATGTTAACTGTTATCATTATAAATGTTGCTATAATATTCCTCAGATATTTTCTTTCAATTTTATTAACTATGTTTTAATATCACGAACTCTTTAAAATTTAGTATGAACATTGGTCTTATATCTTATCCACTAAATCTTTTTCTGTTAGGTGGAGACCTGTACCAGGAGAATCTTATTTTTTTTCTATATGGAAACAACTTTTTAAGGAAAACATGGGAGAAATTCATAGAACCTTGCTTTGCCAAGGCCCGGTGGAAATTAGGAGCTACATCGAAAAGAAGAAAAGATATTTATCCTTATTTAATGATGTTTTGGTTGTGTCTAGCAACCTGTGAGTATATGTAACATGCATTCCTTACTATGAGAGGCTATACTTTAATTAGGCTTTTTTTGTACAAAAATAACCTATGTCCTTTTACTTCTTTTTCAAAAAAGATTATAATTTCTTCATTTTTTCATGATCACAACTTCTCTTTCCTCTACCATGGTTTAGGTTTGGTGGACACTCCCCTACATGTTTGTCAATTTGTTTTGACAAAAGTTTTAGACACAATTTAAAAAAAATAAGTTATGTAAGGTGCTCTCCTGCTACCAATGTGGTAAGTTTGGCTGTCAACCCTGATCAGTCACTGTAATCTCCCAGCATAGAAAATGGTAGTTAGTTTCTGACTGATGCAGGTCAAATGAAGTGAATGGCCTGGCAGCCTTTCAATCTGTCCATCCTTCTTGTCATTTCTACTCAACTCACCTTCAGTCTACAGATGGAAATACATTTTTAAAAAAAGATAGTTATCGACTCATTTGAATTAAAAACTTATATATACTGATAGTGTACCTTTTGAAATTCACTTTGATTTTTGAGAGTAAAGGAAACTTAGAATGACTGTTTTTCTTGAAAGGCCATCTTTTTTTCCCACTTCTGCTGTGTAGTGATAATAGGTAAAACTATTTTGAGAGTGTCATTCATATCATGGAAAGAGTACTATTAGCCTCATAGGAGATGATTGTCATTATTAGCATTTTCAAGGAAGATTATCTCTTATTAGACATATTGAAATTAGAGGTTTTAGGTTTAGGCATTTCTTCTGAATTATGGTTCATATATATGCATATGTGTGTATTATATGTACAATTAAATGTCTTGTGGTGGAAAGAAAATGTAAGTACAAATGTTTTGTATGATGAACAGGTGTGTTTGTATGTTTGTGTGTGAGTGTGTATGTGTATCCTTTACTAAATATTATATAATTGGCTTTAATTTTGACTGTTACATGTTATATTCCATAATGTGGAAAATCATTCTCTGTAGTATCATGTTTCAAAAACATCACACATTTGAAGTTTAGAAGGGCTTATATATACAACTTTTGAATCAGGGTTCATTTTTGTGTCATGTTGTTTCCTGAATCTGAGAGAGGCAGAGTCAGTATCTTCAGTTTTGGATCAACATATTACCTTAAGTGTCCAACAGAGAGTTACATACAAAATTTAAAACACACACACAGACACACACAGACACACACACACACACACACATAACACACAGAGTTAATATGCAGTCTATCATACAAAAATTGAACAGTCACAAATCTGGGAAGGATTCTGTCCAAAGATAGAAGAAAAAGAAGAGAGCAACAAAAAATATTAATGAAAAAACTTTGTGTATATGAATTTCTCAAAGGACAAACTCCATATAAAAGAAATGATGAAAATAGGAAAGTTATGCTTGCAAGATTATTATTTCTTAAAACACTTATATAAGATCAGAATGCTTGAAATAAAGACATATTGCTAATTATTTGTTTAAAATATTGGGATAAACACTCGTCTTTGTGTATGCTTGTATGGGATGTGCTTTGTACATTTGCTAAAGAAGCCATTGTAGTGAGCACATGTGACTTCCTAATATACAGAGAAGGACTTAGAAAATGAATTTTATTCAGTCAGACAATATTTCTATATTATTTATTTTAGAAAGATTATTAAATGTAATTAATTAAAATACACAATCTTAACTAATATTTTTGGTATGAAAATTAAGGAAATAAGCAAACTGTTTACTAAAAAACAAAACTAACAAAAGAAATCTTGAAACACCTGGCTTTCTAAAATTGCCATATATA